CTCCTACATGATCTTGTATACTCTACCATGAAAAATTAAAATTAAATAAAAATTTCTTCTTCAATTCGAATATTAAAAAGAACTTTTAAAATAAATATTTATAAAATCAATTACTTTTTTACTGAATTCAACTCCATATTTGTGAGCTACCAATCCATTTTCGGAAAAAACAAATGGAATTTTAGATAAAACTAAAATAAAGATAAAAAAATTATCATCATAATTATTCATTTAGTAACGCATTAGTTCATTTTTTTTTAAATAAACATTAGATAAATATAAATTGACAAACCTTCGAATCCCCCCATTTGCTCTGATATTTTTTGTAAATCCGAACCCCCTACAAGTGCAATATCAGCATTTAACCGAACTTTATTCATTAAAAAATCTTTCATTTCCGTAGATATTATTTTACGAGGTTCCGTTAAAGTACCATCAACGTCGAACAAACATAATATTTTTTTTTTATCACTCATTACGATTCCAAAAAAGATAATAAATAAATAACAAAAAAAAAAAAAAATTAAATTAGGTAAAATATTATCTCATAACTTGAAAAAAAAATTTCTACCAAATCTTTACTGACGTTACAAGTGCAGTGACGTACAGTGTTGTCAAATCGTTTAAAAACTATTTAAGTCGTGCCAACCGTAAACTTATGTAATTGTTAAAAAGAATTTCAAATCCTGAGGTGATGTGCCGATTTGTTAATTATTAATTATTTTTAAAAAAATTATTTATTTTCAACGACTCGATTATTTATTCGCGACTAAAGTTTTATTAAAGTTTTTTATGAATGATTTAAAAGTTTTTTCGTGCCGATAAATCGTTTAAACATATTTCTCCAGGAGAAAATTTATAATTAAAAAAACGAGTAAAGCGTATGTCATTAGAGTTGAGCGTAGGATGTCGTACAAGTTTTTTTACGTCGGTTTTCTCATATTCTCGTTACAAAATACAATTCAAGCAAAACGAAATGTCGTTTTTTTACTCGGTATGTTATTTTATTATTATTATTATTTATAATATTAATAATTAATAAATTTTAATAAAAAGTGTTCAAAGTTCACTCGGTCAAAAACCTTTCGATGGTCGTTTTTTTTTCTCTCACTTTCATATTAATCGATAAGATATTAAGTACTAAATATTAATTAATTATTATTATTATTATTATTAATTACAGCCGATGATGGCGGTTTCGAAATGCGAACCTACAATAATAAAATATGTCAAAGTCCAAATATAGACGCGTTGGCTAAACAAAGTTTAATATTTAATAATGCATATTCATCTGACAGCAGTTGTTCCCCTAGGTAAGAAGCAACCCCCAAATCATTTTTCCTTTTTTTTTTTTAAATTAAATTAAATTTTTTTTTTTTTTGTAGTCGTTCGGCTATACTTACGGGAAGACCAAATCACGAAACGGGAATGTATGGACTCCATCATGGAATCCATCATTTTAATTCATTTGACAATGTGAAAAGTCTACCGAAAATATTAAACGAAAATGGAATATTAACTGGTATCATTGGTAAAAAACATGTCGGACCTAAAAACGTTTTCCCATTTTCCTACGAACAAACGGAAGAAAATAATTCTATATTACAAGTTGGAAGAAACATAACTAAAATTAAATTGCTCGTTAGAGAATTTTTACAAATCGATAAAACAAAGTATTAATTTTATCATTATTATTATTATTATTTGTCAACGTTTAAAACCTTTAAAAAAAAAAAATTTTCTTTTTTTTTTTCAGGCCATTTTTTCTTTACGTTGGATTTCACGATCCTCATAGATGTGGACACACGCATCCACAATACGGTACATTTTGTCAAAAATTTGGTAATGGAGATTCTGGAATGGGATACATTCCAGATTGGATGCCTATTTATTATCATCACGAGGATTTAAAAGTACCGTATTTTGTACCGGATACGGATGCTGCAAAAATTGATCTTTCTGCACAATATACGGCAATATCGAGACTTGATCAAGGTTAAAAAGAACCTCTTTTGTCAAATTTAAACTTTGTAATGGTCAATTTTTTTTTATTTATTCTTTACACTTTTCACAGGTGTTGGTCTTGTTTTAAAAGAACTCGAAGATGCAGGTGTCATGAATGATACGTTAATAATATACACGTCGGATAATGGTATACCATTTCCAAACGGTAGAACCAATTTGTACGATTCAGGTATAGCACTACCCATGCTCATAAAATCTCCTTACACGTCATCTCGAAGAAATCAAGTCACGTATCAGATGACGAGTCATTTGGATTTAACACCGACCATTCTCGATTGGTTTAACGTCACCGACGAGTCAGTTTCCACATTGACAGGAACATCCTTGCTACCATTATTGACAGAAGGCACGTAATCAATAATCGTCTATTTATTTAAATTTAATTAAATTATTTTATTAATAAATCAATTGACAATAATAAAAACAAAACAAAAAATTTAATTTATTAATTTTTTTTTGTACGACAGAACCAAAAGTTTACAACCGAACTGTATTTGCAAGTCACAGCCATCACGAAATAACCATGTACTACCCATCGAGAGCAGTTAGAACAAAAAGATATAAATTAATACATAATATTAATTATCAAGCACCTTTTCCAATTGATCAAGATCTATATGTGTCACCTACTTTTAGAGTACTTCATTATTTTATTTTATCTTATTTAACGGAAAAAAAACACATAAATTATAATATTTACAAATTTTTTTTTATAGGATATCATTGAGAAAACATATGCCGGAGTACCCGTACGTTGGAAAAAAAATTTAAATAAATATTACTACAGGAACGAATGGGAATTATTCGATTTGAAAAAGGATCCGGAAGAATTGACAAACATTGCGGGGAAAAACGAAACGAAAAAAATATTGGAAACGTTAAAAAGAAAACTTTATGATTGGTTGAACGTGACTCGAGATCCCTGGATTTGTTCTCCTCATAGCGTTTTGGAAAATTCTGGATTATTTTTCGACACTCCACAATGTTTACCATTATTAAACAATAAATTTTAAATCAAAATGTCATTATTAATATTGTTTGAAAAAATTAAATATACGTATGCACTTGTTTTAATTTAAATTTTTTTTTTTTTTTTTTGGTAATGTAGTCATAATAGTCATAATTTTAAAAAATAAATTAAAATTTTTTAATTCGAATACAACAAAAATGAAACAAATAGAAATAAAATCATTAAAAGTGACTAGAAATGATTATTAAATCATTAAGTATTAAAATAATTAATATAAAATTATACATTTGTCGATAAATAAAATAATTCTTTTTTTTCCTCTCCCTCCTCTCCCCTCCCCTCTTCCCCCACTCCTTAATTGACTAAAATAAATCCAATTTTAAAAAAAATTAATCGACAAAAATTTTTTTTCACATTATTAAAATTGTGTTAACAAAAATAAATAATCGAACAATAATAATAATAACAAAACAAAATTTAAAGCTACCTTGTAAAAATTTGTTCAAACATTTCAACAACAAAAAAATACTTTTTAAAAATGATACAATCTTCGATAAAACCAAACAAAAATATAAAATTAAATGAATTATAATAATTATATAAAATTTAAAATAATAATAATATGTTTGGTTATTATTTTCAAATTGACAATTGTGCAATTCATGTTTTGATCTATGATTATTATTATTATTATGTTTTTGTCTTTACTAATGATTAAAATCATTCATAATTTTTTTAAAAATGAATAAATTATTAAAATTGTGCATTCCCTTGGTTTAAGGGCACTTTAACAAAATGATTTTGTTAATTAAATAAATCTACTCGTCCAAAGAACGGATAATAACTGATGAACAGGGAGCTATAACTTTCTCAACAAGTTAACATTTGCAATATTAAAAAAAATTCTCTTTTACCTTGATCACCTTGTTATGAATTAATATATACATAAGGCAAATATAAATTTGTATGAAATAAAAAAAAATTTGCTACATTTCAATATGTGTCACCAATTAATTATCTCTATGTCACCTTTCAGCGTTTGAACTGTTTTTCTTAAATATCACTTGTAGAACTCTGGTGAGCTCTTTTGTTCGATTTGATGATTTAAATTCAGAAACATACAAATCATCAGTTAATTGATCCATTTCTTTTACCTAAAATAAAATGATGATATCGATAATGAATAATAAAATAAATGCATGCATAGGAAATGACATTCGAAAAAAGACTTACATAAGAATTATAAAAAGAGAATCTTTTTTCTCGTTGAAATTTTTGAAATAAAAATTTTATTTCATAAACCAAAAACAAAATAAAAAACACCGTCATAATAATTTGATAAATACCAAAAGTCCTTGAAAATAATCTTCCCAACATTTTTTTACCAGATATTGTCATCTAAATAATTTTCCCACTATAACCTCCATAATCCAATGATTAAGGTTTTAAGGAGTTTTCTCCTGAGTACGCTCGTGAAAAGACTGTCACCGGTAATAATTATTTCTGGCATTTATTTTTTATAAAAGGTAACTTGATTATATTTTAAAAAACGAAAACGTTTCTGTTTGATGTGAAAACAATAATAAAATTCGATAATTGCGATCCATGTTAATTATCGATTCATCGCGATTTAACTTAAAATTTTCATTTTTGTAAAAAACATAATCGAAAATATATTTTAAAAATTAATTTTCCGGTATTATTTAAATAAAAAAAAAAAAAGTTATAACGGATCGATAAACTCATTTAATTACCTAATAGTTGTGTAATAATTTTCATTTCGATATCTCGAAATAAATAATCGATTACTAGATTGCGCGCCAATTTTTTAAGTCATCAAAGTAAATAACATATTATGGATGAACAAAAATTTCTTAATTTTTATCAAAAAATAAAATTTCAAGAAAATTCTGATTGTTTTTCTGCTGCGACAAATAAACGATTAACATTATTATTAAATTTTTACGGATCAAACTATTTGTGAGTTATATTTTATTGAAAAATTCTACACAATTCGAACAGTAAAAAAAAAATTGTTGGAAATTAATTTTTTTTTTTTTTTTTTTAGTAAAGAAAATAATCGTGTGACCGAATTTTTATTAAATGAAGACTTTAAAGATTATAGTGAAATCGTTGATGATAGAGGTAATGGTAAAGTTAACAATTATGCAGACCAAGTTCTAGCCATACTTTCTAATTATCAAAATGGTAACGATACTTCAAATATTAATTACTTATTAATTTTAAAAATCTTTTGTACTTTATGAAATCCTATTGAAATTTACTTTTAAATTTTTTTTTGTATTCAGATGATAAAATCAATTGGAAATCTCATTTGGATGAATTTGATTTCGAAGATCACATAAAGAATTTACCATGTTCAGAAAGTATAAATTGCAAAAATTCAAATGAAATCACTATTGAAGAAATAAATAAGTTGAAGCAAGCATTTAGTAATACATCAGAAGATATTTTTTGTAAAAAAATTACAAAGAATAATAAATCTCCTCCCAAAATGAACACATCTGAGTTTGATACATTCCAAAGTAAAATACCTAGACAAGGTGTGACATCAAATTTCGATAACAGAAATAATATGGTAAATCCTAAACATTCGAAGAACAATGAAGAAGACAAACCACAATTTAATTATTTTCGAACTGCTAGAGATGAACTTCAAATTCAAAATGCTAAAAAATTTTCCAAGGGAAACACACATGGACATGAAGGAGGCAGTGATAAAAATTATGCATATGGAGCAGTTAAAAAATCTTTGGGTACGAGAAAAGGTGGAGGGGTTTTTGGTAAATTTCAACCGCCCATAAGATCAAAAAATGAAAAGTAAATTTTTTTGAAAATAATAATATATATCATAAATCAAATTAGGATTTTTTACATTTAAAATATTCTCTTATTCATTTCAGCGATGATGGTTTAACTAAAATGGAAGTTGATGAAGTAGTCGATGAAAGGCTTAAAAATATCGATCCAGCAATGATTGAATTAATCAAAAGTGAAATAATGGATTGTGGTTCGAAAATAACATGGAATGATATTGCTGGTCTTGAATTAGCAAAAAGTACAATACAGGTCTGTAAAAATTATTTAAATTTTAAACATGATTCGAAACTTAAATTTTAAATGGTTTTTTTATTTTTACATAAACAGGAAATAGTAGTTTGGCCCATGCTTCGTCCCGATATATTTACTGGACTACGAAGACCACCCAAAGGAATTTTATTATTCGGTCCTCCGGGAACGGGTAAAACATTAATTGGAAAATGCATAGCATCTCAATCAAATTCGACATTTTTTAGTATATCCGCATCATCTTTAACATCAAAATGGGTCGGTGATGGTGAAAAAATGGTTCGAACTCTTTTCGCCGTTGCAAAAGTTCATCAACCCTCGGTTGTTTTCGTCGACGAAATTGATTCGTTATTATCACAAAGAAGTGATTCAGAGCATGAAAGTTCTAGAAGGATAAAAACGGAATTTCTAGTCCAATTGGTTCGTCTCATATATATACTTAAATAAAACATTTAAACATGACCACCGTCACGGTCGGTAACGGCTAATTTATTATATCAACTACACGAATAACATAATAAATCAAATATACAATTAATTACAGGACGGTGCAGGTACGGGAGACGATGATCGAATACTCATTATAGGTGCCACAAATAGGCCACAAGAATTAGATGAAGCTGCAAGACGAAGATTGGTAAAAAGATTATACATTCCTCTCCCGGATGAAAACGTAATCAATAATAAAGATCGAACGTTAAATATATATATAAAATATAGATGATGATAATAATAATAATAAATTAATTTCCAGGCTAGAAAAGAAATAATAAAAAATTTAATATCGACTGAAAAACATTGTTTAAACGATATGGAAATACATGAAATAGCTAAATTGACAAAAGGATACTCAGGAGCAGACGTTAAAAACTTATGCCAAGAGGCGTCACTCGGTCCCATAAGATCAATAACACCGTCTTTAATTCAAACCATCAATTTCAATGATGTGAGTGTGACAAGCCCCCCTCCCCCCGTCCCCCTTTTCATTCCAACAACCCATTCATTCATTCATTCAATTTAAATAATCAAAAACTTTTTTTTTTTTTTTTTCTTTTCATTCATAGTCGAATTTAAATAACGTAATTAAATATTTATAACAATCTCTCTCCCCCCTCTATCTCCCCTCGTTCGTCGTATGTTACATGAAATTTAAATAATAATTATTTTTTTTTTTTTTTTTTATGGATTTTAGGTTCGACCGGTTAATTCAAAAGATTTTCAATCCGCTTTAACAAGGATAAAATCAAGCGTATCAAAAAAAGATTTGGATATTTATTTAGCGTGGGATAAATTATACGGTTGCGGTTCTGTAACCACGTGATCACACCCGTCATCATATACTTTCTCCTCTTATTATTATTATTATTAGTATTTTCCAATTTGGTATAATTATTAGTTCTAGAAAAGAAAAGAAAAAAATGTATATATATATGTATTACTTTCATTTAATAATTAATAATATATTTGTATGCTTTTCGAAAATTATTATTTACTTGTTATTATTATTATTATTATTTATTGATTTACGTGGTTTACAAATTCGGGATTTAATGATGACTGACTGATCCAAGTTAGTTTTGCAACAGTCACGAATTTTTTTTTTTTAATTTGATTTTTTCGTACCCAACATTACAAAATAAAAGAAATATTTGAAAATTAATTAATTTTATGTAATATATTTATATTTATTAATTTAATTATTTATTGTTAATTATTTAAATTTATTTTACAACTTTTCGAGTTTAAAAAAAAAAAAAAAAATGGGAAGAAAATTTGTTTTCTTTTTTTTTTTTTAAAGTTATATAAATTAATTTTTTAGTTTTCTAGTTTTTTAGTTTTTTGTGTTTTAAAATGATTTCTTTTGTTTTAAAAAAATTTCGTGGTTTTTAAAAATAACATTAAAAAAAAAAAAAAAAAATCGTGACTTATTAAGACCGAACAAAACAAAACAAAACAAAAAACAAAAAACGGTTTTTTTTTTGTTAGTATTGTATTGTGAACACGAAACAAAGAACTCGAACATACAAAACAATTATTATTATTCTTTTGTGTCTTTAACCATAAATTATTATTATTATTATTATTATCATTATAAATAAAAAATTTTCTACCTGAAAAATTTACTATTTTTTTTTTTTTTTTTATAAAATTACATTATTATCATTATTATTATTATCAACAAAAATTAAAATTTCAAACAACATTTAAAATAATGTAATTTTAAAACGAGTTCAAAATATTTAAAAATTTCATTTATGACGTCATCGTTCTCATAACCTATTATTAATAAAAAAAAGAAAGGGGAGGGGAGGGGGAGAAAGAAAACTAACTATTATTTAAAATAAAAAAGTTTTCATTTTATTAAAAAAAAAAAAAAAAAAAAATTATGTACATATATGTGTAGGAAAACGAAATGGGGGAATAAATGTAAAAAATCTTTTTTTTTTTATATCTGGGGTTTGTTGCTAAGGGTTGCTAAGGAAGGGTTGAGAAATCAATACTCTTTCTCTTTTCTTGCATCGCATCACTCTTTATATATATATATAAACCTTTATATATATTTATATATTTTTAATATTTGTCTTTTTACGTCACCGATTATTATTATTATCATTATTCGTTCAAAATATATTAAAATGACCATTCCGTAATTATAATAATAATATTATTCTTCCTTATTTAAATTCTATTAAATTTTTATTAGTTAAAAGTAATATTAAAAAAAAAAAAAAAGAGAAATTAATTTTAAATACCTTAACACGGTACTGTTTTTCATTTTGTTTACGAAACGGAATTTTTTTTTTTTTTTTTCAATGTGAATTTAAAAATATGTTGTTCGTGTGCAAACCCAATGAATGTGTGACCTTCGATAAAATCATATTCTCCCATCTCTTTGTACACGTGTTCAGGTATATTCAGGTACGTTAGTAATAATAATAATAATGAAATATTACCCGTGTTCGTGTTCGTGTGAATGCGACGAGATGAAAAATCACACTGAAAAACAGTTAACGAATGTAAGAAATATATACACGTATAGGAATTTTTAAAAGGGAAAATAAAATCGACCAATCATATGCCAGTGAATTTATTTGACGTCACGTTAAACTCCGCCCACTTTTAAAACTCCACCTCGCGTGTAAAAAAATCTCTTAGAATCCTGAACTCCTGGTACCTAGACTCCGCTTTGAGAGATGGTGTCTTTAATGTTTTACCTAAAACTGTATAATAATAATAATAGTAATAATAATAATAATAGTAATAATAATAATAATATGTTTAATTAATTTATGACATTTTTTTAAAAAAATAAATATATATTTTATTTCCTTTGTGACGTTTGTTTTTCGCTGGTTTTTTTTTGAATTTTCGCGGGTTTCTTTTGATATTTCTCATCCCTTTGTTGTTATTATTATTATTATTATTATTATTATTATTATTATTATTATTATTATTATTGTTATTGATAATAATAATTATAATTATTTTTATTTACGAACATTTACTTTATTATTTTATCCGAAAATTTTAATGTTTGAAATAAATTTTTTTTTTTTTTTTTGAAATTCTTTCGATTGTGTGCGAACGAGACGAGGAGTACAGTGGCGCTGTTTGTTCGTAGCGGCAGTGCACTTAACTAAAGTACGAGTAAATTTTTTTTTTTGTTTTTTTTTCGCGTTCTTTTTTTTTTCTACGATTTAAAAAATGTTTTTTTTTATTTACGCGGGAAACGAAAATAATAACAATAATAATAATACTAATAAAATTATTAGTAAATAAATAAAATTAAATGAAATCGAAGGGGGGCCATTTAAAAACAAATATTAATTCAACAGATTTCGTTAGTCTTTTGTTTTTCTATCTCTTGAAATAAAATTTATTAATTTAAATATTTATGTACATAGAAATTAAAAAATTCATTTTATTTTAAATGTACATAAAAGTTATTTATTATTTTCGATTCGTTAATTCTATTATATAAAAAAAAATTTTTTATTTTTAAAAAAGACGACGACGATCTATGTTACTGTTTTTATTTTTTTTCTTCGACTACAAGTACGATTTAACGTTATTTTTTTTTATAAAAACTAAAAATATTTAAAATATAAAAATTATGCCATTTTTTTACACAAATTTTGTACGTTATTAATTAATTTTTTATATTAATTAAAAATTAACCGTTATTAAAATTTCGTTAATTTCGTTAATTCGTTTTTTGATTTGTCGAGATTGGTTTCGAACGCTTTGCGGTGAAAACGTAAATTAACTTATGTCGCTTAACTTGAAGTACATAAACATGTTTAACTTATGCGTAACGTATTTCAACTTAAAATTATTATTTATCAACGAATCAGAATCCGTTTTGAATTTTTTTAAATTTGACAAATTTGATTTTTTTTTTACAAAAAACCGTTAAAAAATTATTAATTATTTTAATTGCATTTGATCCGATGGAAAATGTACGTTAAACATTTCAAAAATGAAAATTTTCCGTCGGAAAATAACGACGTAAAAAAATAAAAACGAAATCTCATTATTTCGAGTAATATTCATTACTCGAAAGAAAAAAAAATCCGACGTGAAATTTTTTTTTTTCCTTTTAACATGAATTTTAATATTATTATTATTATTATTATTATTATTATTCTATTGATTTCCGTTTGTATTTGTTTAAATTAAATAAAAACATTTGTCATTAACAATTTTACATTAAAAAAAAAAACAATTATTTATAAACAATTTAAATTGTTTATATTTGATTTGAATTCGTGCCTTCAACTCTTTATTTTTCCTTTTTTTTTTTTTTAATTTAAATTGTTTCCTTTTTGTATTATTATTTATAAATGTGCGTGTGTGTGCGTGCGTGCGTGCGTGCGTGTTTTACGCACGCGTAAAAGTCACGCATTTTTCCGTTGGTTAAAAGAAAAAAAAATTTTTTTTGTAAAATATATTTTTTTACTTTTTTTTTTTATTTCGTAAACTTTTTTCCCCCTCGATTATCGTGCGCGCGTTGCATCGTTGCCAAATCGTGCGCAGTTGCATTAATATCATTCGTATCGTTAATAATGTAGTTAATTACAAGTGGCAAGGAGGTTATAATTATAGATTCCGATGTTGTTTTGTGTGCGTTTCCAAGGTCGCCGTTTGAGTAAAAAAAAAAAAAATGAATTTTGCCGTTTGCCTTGACGAACCTCAAAACTTTTGCTATTTCGTACGACTCCATCATCATTATTATTATTATTATTGTTATTATCAATAAGAAATTTTTTTCTTTTAGAAAAATACATTTTGTTGTATTTTTGTATTAAAAAAAAAAAAACCTCACTTAAAATCATTTACAAAAAAAAAAAAAAAAAATGGCGTACGATTTTATAATTTAAAAAAAATTTTTTTTTTCCCGCCCTATCCCTCGATCTCTTTTTATGACGTAATTTCCGTTTTTTATAATTTACAATCATTTCCTTTTTAATCAATGAATTTATATTATTAACTTTTATTTTTATTTAATATGACGACGGTTAATTACATAAGAGAAGAAAACCTTTTTATTAATTATCCATTTTATTTATTTATTTTTATTCTTTTTTATTAAAATAAACTCACGCGGTATTAATTAATTAATTTATTTATTTATTTATTTAAATAAAACAAAACAACATTTCAACATTAAATTTTTAAAAAAGAAGAAATTATCGATTTTCTTTCTCACTTTCTTTTTTACACGCTACAATAAAATAATAAAACCGTTAAAAAATTTATTTATTTTCACTTCGTGGGGGAAATTTTTTCCCCCACGTCGGGGAAAATTCCCTCTTTAATTTTTCTTTGTTCTTTTATTCTCTATAAAATTTCTTTTTGTACTTAATAAATTAAATTAAATTTTTTTTTTTTTTTTTTAATACTTATTAATTAAAAATTGTTTCCTTATTAATAATAATAATAATAATAATTGTTTATTTAAATCAAAAGATTCCGGTATTCGAAATTAAATAAATCGAACGTCAACCGACGACATGTTTGTTTAATTTTATTTTCTTAATTTATTTTCATATATATATATATATAAAACCCTTAGGCTTATTTTTAATAAAATTAATTTGTACATTTATGTATGTATGTATGTTTTATTAATTTGTTTAAATAAATAAATAAATAAAAAGTCGTTTGAATGATAATAACAGTTATTAAATAATAATAATAATAACAACCGATCGTAAATAATTTTTTATTTATTTATTTATTTTACGAGTTACATTATTTTAAACATGGCATTCTTTTTTTTTTTTTATAAAAATTATATTTTCAATAGATAAATTTTAA